GCAGGCTGGTTCCAAAAGGAAACATCACCTGCCTGGTGCTGGGCTCAGCAGCTGGGGCTCTTTCAGAGAAGGATCTCCAGCTCTGAGTTGCAAAGACCCATCCCAGAAATGGGGAGGGAAGGGCATGACATACAAGCTTCCTTTCTTCTCTGAATTCAGTGCGCTTTGTGTTTTGGCCTTCAAATGCTGTTTGAGGAAGGTTTTATAAATGGTGTTACGGAGAAGCTTTACTCAAAAGTGTGAGCCTGGATAGGCTGAGCTCTGCCAAAAAAGGGCCTGGAGCCTACTCTGGATGAGCACTGGCCAGAAGAAAAACAGTGGGGCTTGAGAGATGCTGTTCAGGGTCTTTTGTGACCCACTTGAGCGCTGCATCTGCGATGGGAGTGATGGAAACCACATGAGTGCGGAAGTTTCAGTGGAAATGTTTGCTGCTGCTTTTTGGGGCTTTTTGTTGTGTTTTCTCTTTTAGAACCTCAGAGCAAAGTAAAAAGGAAAAAAAAAGCCCCTTCCTGATGGAAGAGGCTAATAGAGGGTTATAAATGTGTCCCTGGCATGGTTCATTAGCTGCGATGACATATTGAGAGCTATGAATGGTATGATACCAGCAAATCAATTTAGAATTTAATCTGAAAAAGAATGTGGGGAGGCTAGATCATGCAACATGTTACCAAACATTTCTTATCAGAATAAATAGAGCAGTTTTTCTTTCACAGCACTCCTCCTGCCTGGTTGCTGTGAAAAATGCAAAATAAACAAACATGTACCTGATTTACCAATGATTAATTTGCATAATTAGTGCTGTGTCAAATCACTACACCAAGGTGCAAGGCACACTTTGCTTTAAATGTTTACATGGATGCCTTTCTGGGTTTACTTCAAGATCTCATTATTTCATGTGTTTAATGATCTTGTAATGATGCAGCATCAGTGATGACCAGATTTCACTGGGTCAGAAGGGAAGATGAGTGCCTTGGGGGTTGCAGTGCAGAATCTGTGCTGTTCTTTATGTGCATTGCCCTGCTCTGGAAGCAAATGCCCTTCACTGAAAATACATGCCCATAGCAGGTGTCTGTGAGCTGCTCTATGGTGGAGCCAGGAATAATCTCAGATCTAGGTCTGCCTGGGGTGGGGCGTACAGACCTGTAGGCTCTCTGGCAAACTTCATGCTCCTCAAAGAACAGCTCTGAAAGTTGAATCCAGACCCTTTTTCACATCAATTTGATGTGGAATGTGGCTGCACTTTAGGACTGCTTAGGGTGAGCAGCCAAGAAGAAATCTCTTGCCTTCAGCTCTCTAAGGACTTGGGTTGTAGGGGCAGTGGTTGGTGCTGTCTGCTTTCTGCCCCAGGTCACCTGTGTGCTCCCAGCTTTGTCAAGTGTGGTTATAATATGTGAGGCAGAACATGTGGGAGAGGCAGAGATGAGCTTTAACCTGCAGTGCCTTTGGGAGCCAGAGCAGTTCCGCATCATGCTCTTTGTTGTGTCAATTGCTTTGTCCAAGATTTAAGATTTTGTGCATAGCGTTTTCTGACATGGAGTAATGTTAAGGCTGCAAAGTCACTCAGCATTCAGGAAACTTCAGAACTGAGGCTGTTTGTGCTTCTGTTCTCAGCCTCCTTGTCCCAGACAGACTTGGTGTCCATGGGCACAGGGGTCACTTCAGGCTTTTGATGCACCTCTCCTGGAACAAGAGAAGGAGGTGCAGAATATCCTACAGGTGCACCATTACATCAAAAGTGTAAATACATTTAATGTTTTAAAACATGTCACCCTGGGCAGCTCTAGTTGCATGCTTGCTTTCTCTCTCTGTAATGGGTATCAGATTATTCTAGTGATCTTGGCATTGTTTTAGTAATTGACTGATGCAATGCAATGTTCACTGATTTAATAAGTTTGTTAGTATAATAGAGGTTCAGGATTTTGCTGCTAATGTGCAGTGACAATTACATTTTAGATTTGCTCATTATGTTGCATAACTTAGCTATGAAATCTATCATAAATTACATTTTAAAAAAGCATTGTTTCAGAGTACATTAGCATGGCTCTCTTCTCATCTCTCTAGCACTGGAGAGAACCTTGTAGGCTGAACTTGCTTATGATCAGGGATGCATTCAGTTTGTGTTCACGTATTCACGTTCCGCATTAGGCTTTGGCAGGGCTTCTGACACCTGCCAAAAAAATCTGGGTCCTGCCGTGTCATCCCACTGTCTCCATCACAGCCAAGGACTGTGCAGGTACCCAGTGTTCTGGATGCTCTTTGGGGAAATCTCCAGCTGGCAGGATGCCTCCCTCCCTTTAAAACAGAAAAAAGGCTCTGTGCTTCCTCATGCCACGTGTGCGGGTAGGACTGTCTCGGCATTAGTGTGCGGGCACACCTCGTAGCAAAGCCAGTTTTGAGTTGTCTGTGTTATGTCAGAGCTGAACGTGCTCTGAACCTGCTCTGAACCTGCTCCAAAGGCTACCTTTTCAGCCAGAACCTGCTCCAAACGCTACCTTTTCAGCCAGAACGGCTTGATCTTTGTGTATTTAGCATGAGAATGAAAGTCAGAGAGGGAGTCTGGAGAGGGGGTGAACCTCTTCTGGGCATCTAGAAATCAAGTGTCCCCTAAGAGCTTGTGCTATTGTGGACAACTTGGAGGGACTACATCTTTGTCTTGTCTCTCAATATTGAATGTATCTGTTGCATCTCTGGGGGTATTTCTACAGATCTAGGACTGGCTGCTTGGCATTGCCCTTCCATGGGCTCTGCAGAGGGAATAACAGGGATAAGGCTGTCCTGGGGGGACTAAGAGGATCCTTGCATGCAGTGGTCTTGCTGTACCTCCTGTTGACAGCATCTGTTTTCAAGAAAAATGAAAGACAGATTCACAACAGGCTTTGTCATCTCTTTACTCCAGCTGTGATTAGGAAAACTTCCTCATCATTAAGGATAAAAATAAAGCAATGGTAATTTAACAAGTATGACTTCTTCCAAACTAAGACTCTAAATGGCAAATAGACTGTGAAATAAGCTAAGAAAAACAATATTTTTTCCAGATTAATACTTGTTCCTTCTGGTTCATATAACAACCTTGCCAAAAGGCAGGGTTTTGTTGACTTGTGTTTTTCTAACTGCTTCTCTTCCTTCAACTGTCGCTCTCACTTATTCTCTATTATTAGCCCCTCTCTGCTCCTCTTCTCCCACAGCCAGGTTTCAACTGCTCTTCCTGGAAAGCCAGAGATTTCTGAAGTGTTCCTCTTGGTGCCTGCTTTTCTGTCTTGGAGGCCCAGAAAATGGATGAGAGCCCCAGCTATGTGGCACTGGCTCAGCACAGGCCTTTTCCTGCTCAGCAGCATGGGGTTGCCTAGCAATCCCACACCATCTTGCTGCAGCAGCTGTTTGCTTCTCCTCCACTCCAGCTAGTGCACATACACCTCCTGATCTGTAAAGTTGCATCTCTGAAGTGGATACCAGTTTGCATTTTGAGGAACAGATGTCAACAGGGACCCAACTCAGTGGCTTGAAATGCAGAGAAATTTTCAGATCTTCTCTCCCATGTTCTCAGTTCTTCATTCTCCAGATCTGCTGCCTAAAACATCTTCAGTCTCAGCGAACCGTGTGAAGATAACACGGTGGGGCGTACCAAGGAGCCACGCTGGCTGAGCACTTCCCTTGTTTAGCAGGTTGTGAGAAAAAGTGCTGCTGCCTCTTTCCTATGTGGCAGCAGGGCTTGGCTGTTACTGCATCCTAGATGGCCAACATGCATTTAAATATCCATTTTACATGATAGATGTATACATCAGATGCATTTTGTAGTCCTCATTTGTGTTATACTCTATACAACCCTGATGTTTTCTGAAGAGTTCCTCAAAATCCTTTTGAGAAAGGGGAAAAATATCAGGATGGGAAGGCAGAAAAGTGGTGCCTGGTTTCAGGGTGTCACATGTGGGATCTATAGGATATTAATAATGTCTCATAGGTGGATTGTATGCAAAGTTCACAGGAAGTAAATTGACTTAAACAGGCTGCATATATTCCAAACATTTCTCATGAAATAACTTTATAAAGATTAGCCACTGTCTTAAATATTGGAAACAATAAGACATTTGAGCTAGAAGAAAGGTGCTGAGTAGACTATAGTAACTCAGACAAGTCTGCAAGGAGAGCTGCTTGCTATATCTGCATTTTGTAACAGCCCCAGAGTTCAGGAGAGGGAAAACTCAGGTTGTCCGGCAACACCTGAATAAATGGGCCTGCACTACCAAAGCAGTCAATGTTCATTACTATTTTAGAGATTGCATATCTTGCTAATAAGCCACAAAAGGGCAGTACAACAGGACCTCTAACAGCCTGTGGTTTGCAAAATATTATAGGGCAAGCCTACAACAGTGTTCAGCTGGCTTCCTGAGAGAAGAGCTGAACAGCAGGAGAACAGAAAGGTCCCTGGCTTCCCAGGCTCTGCCTTTGCATAGAGCTGAAGGAAGGACTATTGCTTTCAACCACTGTGTGACTAAGATTACTGCCCAAAGGTCCTTAAATTAGGTTTAAAAAGTAGAAAGGGGAAGGGGCTGAGCATCTAAGCTTTGGTTAGCCCTGGATACCTTGTAAACTTCCATCCCATGTGTTTCATGCACTCCCTCAGTTTTCCTGGTGTTTGCAGTTGGGAATATAATGCTTTTCTTCCCTACCATCCTTTTGTTTGGTGCCTGTCAGGTGGCTGAAGTGGGCCCAGGCATCCAGCTGTATGGCAGCATGGGTGAAGCTATAGAAATCAGCACTGCATGCTAAGCTGGAGGGAGGCCTGCCCCCAGGAGAGCAGGGAGGTTGCTAGCTTGCAAGTCAGCATGTGGCTGTAGTGCTGAATGCACAGTAAAACGGAGGAAACCCCTTGGGAAGGTTCATTGCCCACTTGCAGACAGCAGTAAGCCCAGCCTGATTGCAGGAGTAAACTCCCTATTTGTCACAGTCATAATATGTTCATTTTCAATGGACAGGCAGCAAGGAAAAAATGGCTCCTTATTCCCAGTCGGAGGTGGGCGCACATGCTGAGTGTGTCCTGAGCATGCCGCTGTGGTGGGAGCGCACCTTGCCGAGGTGGGAGCATGGGCTGAGCACGCTGCCGAGGTGGGAGGGTGTCTTGGGCGCCTGCCAAGGTGGCAGCGGGAGCTCCGCGGGCTGCCGAGGCGAGAGCGCGCCGTGGGAGCGTGGGCCGAGCATGGTGCTGAGGTGGGAGCGT